CTTTAATCAAAACCGTAATAAGTAGTATACGTAACTATACTTAATTATGATTTACGCACATCCTTTACAGAAAAATATATGTAGAAAATGTTTTTAATTATACGCATGTATATATATATATAATTAATTATAAAAAACTGATTACAATCTCCATAAAATATTCTCTGTAGTAAATTCGATAACAAGACATGGAGTAAATAGGAAACATCGATTTAAAGTTCCGCCATCGATTTTCTATAATACAGTATATAAAATATAATATCGTAAATAAGAACTAAATACAACAGAAACAATTTCAATTGTCAAAAATATTTTAAAATATTAAAAAGAGGAGAATTATGTTTAAAAAAATATATATATAGAAAAATAGTAGTCCCTTGATTTAACGAATTAGGTGAAGGGGATGTGCGCTATTATCGAAAATCCGTTATATCAAATGCTTTTTAAAAACAATAATAACATGCAGGATGTATTAAAATGTTATTATAATGTATAAGTATAAAGAAAATATTGAGTAATTTATACTCAATGACTCATTTTTTTTTTTGTGTGTGTTCAATCGGCGAATAAAATAAAGTTATAAATCTTTCCTTTAGGACAGAAATTATTTTGTTCGTTAAATCGAGGTCTATTATACAATTTAACAAACCTCAATTTAACGGACGTATTTTAAATTTACGTTTTATATATTGGATCATTCATTGTATCTAATCAGATGACGATGACGAATGTTTGACACGAAAATTTTCCATTTACTAATGTATTTTTTCGTCATAGCGACGAATATTTGGACATAGATATAAAACATTATCGTAAAACTAGACAAGTCATGTTCGAGAAACCTTAAAAGTGTACATCACTCAGAATTGCTTACATCGATTTTTCTCTTATAAACAATATAAAAGTCATAAATATTGCATATTATTAAAAAAATAATAATAAATTATGAAACGTTANAAAATGTTTAAATAGTCAATTAAAATTAAAAAAAAAATTGTAAATAAGTTTTTAAAATGTACGAAAATTACCAAGCTTAAATTTAAATGATTTTTAAATGGAAAAAACACGATGAACAAATAAGAAAAATGATCAAAAATAATGAATCACGCATTAACAGTTTAATGACGTCGAATTATGAAAATTCGCAGAAGGCGAGATTAAAAATCCGCCAGGGAACTTTACTCTTAATGATGCAATGCGGCTCCAACTGGTTCTGTCTGGCAGACGTTGGTTGGTCGATTCCATTTGAAGTCACGCTCCTTCATTGGAAGCGTAGAGGTGACATCACTCCTCACGTGAATGTGATGTTATAAAAGCAGCCGGAGTGACGTCGTCTCCGTTGTGTTAGCCCCATTTTTTTAACGAGGCGCCATCTGTTGAAAACTTTATCGATTATTTTTGAAATAAATTTTTCTTAACTAGTTTCTTCACTCATTTAAGCAAAATTTAATTTTCTTTAATTAATGTTTCGGTAATTCATCTGTAAATGGAAAAAAATAACCAAAACACATTTAAACTCGATAGTATTTTTCTACATTAAATAATACGAATTACTCATAAGAAAGAAAGGGGGGGGAAATGCAGCTCGAGAAATTAGAAGGAAAAAATAAATAAATAAAAACTTTTAATGGCCAATTCTAGATGTGCTAAATTAAGAAAACTTTTTTAAATGTTACTTAATTATTTAAATACATTACGAAATATTAAAGATTGCAAAATTCAGTAAAGTCTTATGACGTTATATTTATTATTTTATATTTTAAAATAGGAAATAATTCATATAAATTCTTTATTAAAAAGTTTTCATTGGCCACTTCTTTTATCATAAATATTACGAAACGTATAAAATATTTTATATTTTGATATTTTTTTTTCTTACATTTTATCGATTACTTAATCAATCAATCAAGCTATAATGACGTATAAAAGACGTAAAATATACTTAACACTATACGTATTTTATTAAATTAATTAATCGATTAAAATTATTAAACCATTACTATTAAAAATATATATATATATAACTGAGAGCATTTAATAATACATTTCTTATAAATAATAATAGACTTTAATACAATAATAAAATATTGCTAAATCTTACTTATATTACACCATTTTTTTTCATATTATCAATGATTATTAATCAATAAGTTTATTAAGAAATACGGAAATTTAATTATATAAAATGAATTAAGACCTTTAGACATCAATTAAGTTCGATTTTATAGATATTTTTTTCTTTTTTAATGGCATTTTTGGCTTCAATTTTGCTTGTAATTGCGTGTATATGACCTGATTTTATTTCTAGTGTGATTGTATTAAAAATATGTCTCATCTGTCACGTGAATTATAAAGGTTTAAATAGTTTTATTTTACATTAAAAATAATAAAATGCAAAGTATATTTTATCTCAAATGCTAAAATATATATATGGATCTTTATTGATTTTAACGAGATTAACATTAATTGGATTATTATTAAGATAAAAATATAACTAATCGAAGGGGTTATTAAGTCGATTATAATTTTAAATAAGTAAAAAAACTTTTTGGAAAAATTAAATTTATTTAATACAACCGGCTTAAAGTAGGTCAATGTCATATTTATTTACTTTTATCATCAATACCTAATGCAATTCGACTGAATTTATGGCTAGAAACTTATATAATTTCTATGTGTTGCTAAGCTAAAGAGAAAAGAGCAAATGCATTAATAATATTATTACTAATCTAATTAAGATTTTAAAAGCAATTAAATATTTTTCTAAAAAATTAAAATTTAATTGGTAATTATCCAATAAATGTTTAGATTAATATTTACTATAAAACCAATTTTACAGATAATTGCATTTGTAATTGCATTTATAGTCTAAATGTTTTAAAGTTAGGAATGAAATTAAATGCTTTCCTCTTTTAAATATATTTACAGACGGATGAATATATTAAGTAACCTATTTTATTATATAAATAATTCACTTTTTTGAAGAGAGAGAGATCGTTATCGAATTCAAATTTGGAATAAAAAAGTATGATATACCTTTTTTTTTATTTAAGTAAAAGGTTTATTATATTCTAAAATGAAAACGAAAGCACTAACTTGACCCCTTTAAGAATAAATGATAAAAGGAAATATATGTATATATGAATTATGGGCGTTTCTTGATATATATGGGTTATGAATTCCAACCTGAAATAGGATGAAAAAAATTGAGGAAAATTATGGACGATATTTTTATATTCTCGATATTATATAATGGAGCGATAAATATAAGGTAAGACGGAAGTATATGTACAGTATATACAGTATATATTGCAAGGGCGACTATGAAATTATCAAGCAAGTAGTTTGCATATTTATTAATATCTTTGTTGATTTAAACTGATAAAAGAGGTACACTTGTATTGTTTTTTCGCACGTTTTAATCCTGGGCGGGCACAATGCCAAAATTTACAGTTAGGACCCGCTTTCTTACGCGTAAGTAAGGACTTACTCACGCGTGCCAAGAATTCTAAACAATTGGTTCTAATTGTAACGAACATAAAAATTGATTATCACGTGTTATTATATTCTGGAAAGCTAAAAAAAATTTAAAGAATTAAAGCCGAATTAAATTATAAAATATCGCTGAGAAGATTACTAATTTAATAAAATATAAAAAAAAAATTATTAAGATTATGAAAAACACTTTTAAAAGTGTTAATTTAATACGGAATGTTTAAGTGTTACAGTTTTTAAATACATAAAAATGTTTAAATAGTCAATTAAAATTAAAAAAAAAATTGTAAATAAGTTTTTAAAATGTACGAAAATTACCAAGCTTAAATTTAAATGATTTTTAAATGGAAAAAACACGATGAACAAATAAGAAAAATGATCAAAAATAATGAATCACGCATTAACAGTTTAATGACGTCGAATTATGAAAATTCGCAGAAGGCGAGATTAAAAATCCGCCAGGGAACTTTACTCTTAATGATGCAATGCGGCTCCAACTGGTTCTGTCTGGCAGACGTTGGTTGGTCGATTCCATTTGAAGTCACGCTCCTTCATTGGAAGCGTAGAGGTGACATCACTCCTCACGTGAATGTGATGTTATAAAAGCAGCCGGAGTGACGTCGTCTCCGTTGTGTTAGGGGAAGAGATATTAAAATATATTGTTTTAATCGAAGTAACTGTTGTATGGGTGAGTTTGTATCTTTTTTTTTAAATTTTTTTTTTTTGTTTGACCGTTTAATATTGGATACTTCTATTTTCGTAGTTTTAGTATTATTCTGTTTAGTTATCTGAACTGTAATCATGGCTTCCATCGTCGCAAATCTATCAGACAACATGGATGTAGATACATTTAATATTGACTGTTGGGTCTATAAAATGCTTGCAGAATAACACACCCCGGCGCAATTCTATACATTTTTTCGACGTAATAAAATGTTAATTCTATAAATGTAGACGTTGCAAATGACTTCATTCTTTTAAAATAAAGTGAAATTTATAATATCTTTTTTTTTAAAAAAATTTATTTTAAAAATAATCCCTTAACTTCTCTAGTGTTTATTTTAAACTGTTGCTTTGATGTTAAATTAGTTGCAAAAATCTAAATAAACCTTGCTTATAATTTTCATTCTATATTTGGTATCTAACTAGAAGATTGGTTTACAATAGTTTAGCTCACATAGAAAGAATATAGTTTCAGGTACAGGTAGTAAGTCACATGATTTGCTGAGTCACAGACCGTTAAGGTCATTTATCTTTTTTTTTTTGTCATTCTTGCCATCTAAATTAACTTTATAAAAGCATCATCATTAGTTTTATTATTTTTTTTTTTTTATATTAAAAAAATGCTGAATAAACGTTTATAATTGCATCATTAACACAGAGAACAGTTGCAGTTCTACACAAAAATATTCTAATGGTTATAATTGAGGTTGACTGTTTTCACGTAGTGTATTAGTTTTATCTTAATGATGATATTTACTTGATTTTATATTTGATAATTACAGAGACAGACGAAGAGTCTTTATTAGGATTATTCAAGCACCCAACAATTACTAACCAAATAGGTGCAGTAGAACGATTTTCTTCAGAATGGCCATCTTGACTCGAGGAAGTGCCTCAATATGTGCCACTTTACAAGTATGTTTTAAATCATTCATTCTTTATTTAATAATTTCTTGTAATTAATAATGTTCCCCTTTTTTGAAGGCTACACAAATTCACTTCCGGACATGGAGTGAGCCTCCTTGACACAACATGGAACCTGAAAAAGGAATTCAGCAAGGTAAGAAGCTTGTTAGTTCTACCGATATTGTTAAAAGATAAGCGTTGTATTAAATTATATAAATGCCATTTTTTAGATAAATCTGTCATGGGTACCTGACCCTAAGGAAGATTATAAAGACTGTGACAAGTCTAATGATCTACTTCCGGAGCCAAGATGGAGCGAAACTCTTCGATGCATAAAGTTTCCAAGCCTGGAAGAGCTGGAGATTTTTCTGCAAGTGATTGAGATAATTTTGGGCGAGAATCTACAAAATCATTATTATAACACCGTAGGAAGCTTTTTAAAGTTTTATGAAGATTATAAGAAACAAGGTCGACCACCATTGAAGGAATTTTTCTTAAACTACCAGGCACGAATATTGTCGGAATCATTATCTTGTGTTGGGTTGAGTTACGCTTTGATCGAGTATATTGTTAATTCCGATTTAAGTCTGTTATATCCCCAGTTAAAAAGCTGCCTGTTTCTAGCTTCCTGTGAGGAGTGCATAACGGAAGTAGACAATTACTGTAGTTTCTCTCCTCCCAATAAGTCTGTAGCAGTGAAAGAGCACGTTCTCGCAGTCTGTAAGATCTATGTGGAGGGACGTGAGGGGGTTATAATCTTGGATCCGGGCTACCACGTCGGAATACCTATTGTGGTCATGGAAGATGGCCTTTATCCGCACAAGGGTTGGTTTGTCCAGAGCGAAACTCCGAAATCGAAGAAAGAATACTGCTATCAGTTAAAGGGAGATTATGTCCACTGGACAGTAAGAGAAACTAGAAACGGTAAAGAGAAAACTTGGTGTAATTTGATATACATCAAGAAGAAATTTCTTAGCTACGTATCCGTTTCTGAGAAAAGAAATCTGGTTTTTAATTTTCGCACACTTGTCGCCAGAGACGAAAAGCAGCCCATTGGGGGATTTTATTGTAATATGGAAGGTGATGAGAAGTTTACTTTGTTTTTTAAAGATTATCTGGGGAAGAGAGTCGAGATAAAAATTCCGTTTGGTTACTTTAAAGGTTCTAGAAATAATAACGAGTACGAATCTGCCATACGCAAATGTGCAATTCAAATAAAAAGTAATACAGCACTCCTCGTAGGAATGATGACACAATTAGTCGAAGCATATTACGACAAAGAATTCATGATCCCTGTTAATGAGATAAATAGAGAAATAGACGAAGATTAGAAATTTTTTTTTCTGGTTGGAATTTTTAAATTTTTGCACCAAATTTTTGGCTAAATGGTCGTTTTTTAAACTGATTTATATATGGATCTTATATGATATAGTTGCTGCTTTGTGATAAATTACTACTTTATTTGCCACATTCAAAATTTTTAAAATAAAAATACTTTGATACTGACTGAATCTTACATTTTTACATTTTGTTTTTACTTCTAAATGCTCGAGTAACCGCTTTGTTTTATTGTCTCGGTTCATCATATAATTTTTTTAAAATCTAACTTTTACGTGTAACGGGAGACTTTCATTGATTAAATTTTAATTATAAATGATCTAACGTTCTGTAGATATTTGACCATATATATAATTTAATAGCGCCAAAAATAGAACAATAAATTGATTTACATAGTTTCTTTAACACTTGTTCTTTATCGAATAGACTATTGATTGAAAGAAAACATCAATTTTCTACTTAATCTGCTTTGAAGGTGCCCTTTTTGAATTTTTTTTTGTTTGACTTTAATACAAGCGATCGTCCCTTTATAAACTGAGTGTCAAAATAACCTTTATCGTGAAGTAAATAGACAACGAAGGAGAAACGAGAAAGGAAACACTTTTTTACATGTTGATAGTATAACATTAAACTGCGTAGTAACGTGTAACATGCCAACAATTTTTAAAATTAGCATTCTACCTGAGCCAAATTTGAGGTCCTCACCCTCGTTCATAAACACCTATTGTCTTTATGGCACTTTAAAAACAAAACAGATGTCACTTCTTAAAAACTTTCTTACGTAATACATAATTCACAAAACATTTTTATTACAAAGTTTTATGTATTTCTACATAAATGATGTAATTCCGTAGTAAATAAAACTATTAAGACTCATCATTCTGACAAGAATTTGTAACTTTTTCAATCCAAGTCATGTGTTTTCGCACATGAATGAAAACATTGAACTGAGTATTACACCACTCCCTCTCCACCAACATTCCTATTAAGTAATGCAGATTGGTATTTTTATCTTCCATGACTAGAGGGCTTCCTAAATTACCAGCACAGGTTCGATTGGTTACAGACCTATAAATACATTATATTTTAATTAGAAAATGTGACATCGAAGGTCAGTTTCCATTATACATACCCTGCACAGAATAGATCATCTGTAATGTTGACTTTTACTCTGTTACATTCAAAATCTCTAGCTATCGGCAGATTTACTTCAACAGGTAACATTTGAAAAGACGAAGCAAAATGTTTTTCGTAGAAAGTTTTAGAAGGTACGTTACCCCAACCAATCGTAACTGCTCTTCGATTTTCGTAAAACAGAAAATCTGTAATATGAAAAACATTTAATTAAGCTTCAATAATTTAAATAACAACAGATTGAGACTTACTATATTTAGGTAAGCATATTGTCCTGTAACTGTCATTCATGGGAACATCCTCGTTTAGTTTTAACAAGGCTAAATCATGCGATCCTCCTGTAGCTCTATCAAATTTAGGATGGATTCTAACTTTAACAGCATAATAATTTCTTTCGGATTTTTCAAGGAGGGCTAGATGCTTCTCTCCCATAGTAACAAACACATTCTGGTAAAAATTTATTATTAATATAATTTTCACATCATTAAACACCAGTATAAAAAAAAAAAAATAGAACTCACTGATTTAGAATGATTTAAATTTGTTTTATCTTCTCCGTAGAAGCAACTAGCCGAAGTTAATACCCATCGAGAACATATTAGACTACCAGAACATATACCTAACTTTGGTTGATTGTCTTCCGATGGAAACAATACATAAACAACGGCTAACCATGGCCATTTGGCCACTACATCCGATGAGCTCTTACTCTTTGATTCTGGTAAAAGTCCACAACTAGCTTCTTTCTTTTCTGGAAGAGCTAAGAAAATATAATATTAAAAAAATTTTACTAATTATTAGCTATTTTATGAAATTGACATTTTAGAACTGTAATGTATTTTAATTAAAAAAAAAACTCTACTCACCGTCATTATTTCTTATTAGCCACAATATATCGTTTAAATCGGAATATTTTTTCAGTAAAAACACATGATTTTTCTGAGGAGTTGATGCAATTTTTACTAGTTGGTTTACATTTATATCCTGACCAATTCCAACAGTAAATATCTCAAACTCTATTCGAATAAAAATTATTCATGATTCATTCTTTAAAATATAATTAAGAGTGAATTAAAGTAGTAATTACCAAAGTCCGTCTTAAGATCATTTGCCGTTACTTCTGGAGGAACTTGTCCAACGTTATTTTCACCATCAGTGAGAAGAAAAATCGCTCGTTTAGCTTTCTGTCGTAGCAAAGTCACGCAGTTTCCTATAACCTTATCCAGAGCAAATGTCATAGCGGTTCCTCCACCTTCGGGCTGAAAAAAAAATTAATATATAGAATTTTAATTGTAAATATATAAAGTTATCCAATTAAAACAAAATATATCAAAATGGAACAATAAAAAGTATAATATAATGTAAGTGCCGCCATCTGTTGATATTTATTATTATTATTACTATTATTATTAGAGATTCATTTTATTGATAGCGGCTTTTATATAGCTGATTAATTAATAGGAATGAAACAATATTCACCATGAGACCATCCAAAATATTTTTAGCATCTTCTTTGTTTTTTATTTTTTCGTCATTGACATTAACTACAATATCCGCTGTATCACCAAATGTTATAAAGGCGACTCTGGTACCCACTAAATAAAAACGTGACATTTGTAATTTAAATATAAATTATACATAAATTTATTTTAAAACAAGTCCATCGTAATATTGTACTAACTTTAAATAATAAAAAATAATAATTCAAACTTTTATTAATTCTTTTAATTCTCTTTGCGAAGTGACAAAAAATAATCATTTATTTACTATAAAAAATACTAAACTAATTTTTAAATTTAATAATACAGTTAAAGATCTTAATTATAATTAATATAATTTTTAGAAAACGTATGTATTTTTCCAATAATTTATTTGAAAAACAGTAGAAATTTAATACAGTAATGAGTTTATAAAAGATTGGTTTGCCTGGGACCAACAACAGGCTCCAGGCAATTGCCCTTTTAGCCCATAGGATAACGTCCCACTGATTTTGACTATTGTTATCATAGACTTAAGTTCTTCTTCAGGAAACAGGCTATTAGAATGCTACTATCGCTAATGGCTAATGGCATATTAGAATCCCAACCAATCTTGCTGTATTCAGAGTAGGCCTAATTACCCTAATGTAGGTACCATTTTGATTGTTTACGAGTATCGTAATTAGCTCGTTATCTTCAAATCTATATCTCAGTGGTTCTCAATCTTTTTTGTCTCGTGGTCCTCCTTTGTACAGCTTTGTCGGTAAGTTATATTTTTACTGAACACAAGAAAGAATTTAACTATGAACTCGGAAATAATAAGAACTAAAAGATAACGGAACTGAAAACATTTATTTTCAAGTCAATAAATATTGTTTTTTTCATGAGAAAACAATATTCTCTCTTATTCATTTAATCATACAGTAAATTAGAGAAGATGCTGGCGGACACTTCCGGTAGGCCTTCAAAAATGATGGTTGACTGGGACATATCAGCAAGTTCCCAGTCAGTCACGATTGCTTCTACATCTTAATACAGCAAAACTGAAAAGAATGAGATGAGCGCGGTGCATACATTTTCAAAATGGCGGACTGTTCCTGACAGCTTTTTCGGTAGACATGCGACTCACGACTGATTAATTATAAACTAGGAAAAAATTGCATATATTGCGCGAGTTTGTAAAAATGTATTGAATGTCATAAAATAAATATAATTTTAAGATAGATACTCGTAAATGTTTAAAAATATATTAGATTTGAATGAAAACTTCTAGTGTGAGTTATGTAAGTCTTCTGTTCTAGAAGCAAGTTGGCTTGTAATCAGCCTCAAGGCTCATGAGAGTGAGATGGGTGTAGCCTACTCATGGAGCAAAAATGGATGGTTTTCCAATATTTATATTCAATGTTGCACCAAAATGTCGCTTCGAGCATCATGTAGAAATGTCTTAGTTCAGATTAATGATCAATTAATCATCAATGAAATGTAGTTCGGTAGATTGATAGATTGTACAAAATCGGTAGATCTATCGAAATTTCGATGGAATTAAAACGTGCATTTGTATTGTTTTGAAACGAACATTTGTATTCTTTTCTAATAAACTGCTTGAACCAATCACAGCACGGCAGTAATATTCAGGGTAATAAATTGCCATTTTTGAGTAATATAGGGTGAAACAAACGTTTTCTGTGCTGATGTGAAAGTAATTGGTGTCTCCGACACCACCTGCTTTGTTTACAGTGGTATCGTGACAAAGAAAGCATAGTCTGTTACGGATTGGTAGCGTATCGTTTTTAGTAACAAATCCCAATTCCGTTTAGAAGCTAATACCCATCCTATTAGAATGTAGTGAATCACGCTTCTATCCTGCCTTTACTTTAGAGCGGTATAGTGATATCACTGCTAATATACTGATTTGGCGAGTCATCTCGTATGACAGATACCGATAGTCATCTCTATCAGTTGTATGAGAGCAATTGACATCATAATGTTCAGAAAATTCTGCGCTTTCGTATGTTGCCTTTTATGGGAGAACTGTAAACAATTCTATCTAGAAAGCTAACGAACACACAGCTAAGATTTCCCAGGAATGTCTTTGTCACGTTGTCATAGTTGCTTGCCTTCTCGGTATCCAGATTTGTCGCCATCGAGCATTTTTGAGATCCGATGGGACACCAGATCTTTAAACCAGAGTTTGAAGATCTGGAACGATAGTTGCAACATCTAAGGGCAAATTTATTGAAGGATAGCGTAAGATGTCCAACTGTATCGTTGCATGTAACCAGATAGGAGGAGGTCCTACACATACTGATGGTTCCTTTAAATTTTATCGTTGTTCTGCAGGAAATTATCTCTATTAGCTACAATATTGTAATAAGCTATCACCATTATCATTACGTTAACACTAATAAAGTTTCATTCGATTCCATGCCTTTTTCTTGATGGGTAACGTTTTTTGTGAATTAAATCTGTGTCGGTAGTTAATAATATTATCAATAAAAACAATTGATAACTATTGAAAAATTACTTAACTGTATATTACTAAACTTCCTTATGTCAGATAATTAAATAATTTGTCAAAATAGAAATATAGACACTTGATAATATATTTATACATTAAAAATTACAGTATCATTGACTAATTTTTCAGTAAAATTTTAGCTCAAATATGTTATTTGAAGCCATAATCTACATATATAAAATTGCTTGTCCTGACTGACTAACTCACTCACTGATTCATCATCGCCCAGAGCAAACCGCTGAATCTAAAGAGGTGAAATTCGGTACACAGTTAGGGTACGTCATGAAAACGCTCACTAAGAAGGGACTTTTCGAAATTCCCCCGCGGGGGGAGAGGGAGAGGATTAAGGCTTAACCAGAAGAACGGCTTCTACTGTACTATTTTAGATGCGATTTTTTGTTTTTATCTGCGTTTTAGTAGGGTATGCCAAGGAAACATACACTAAGAAGGGATTTTTCGAAATACCCCCTCAGGGGGAGAGAGAAAGGATTAAGAATTAACGGGAAGAACGGCTTCTACTGTACTATTTTAGATGCGATTTTTTGTTTTTATCTGCGTTTTAGTA